CGGAGCAATCATGCATGGTTTCCATTAACTTTGTGAAAAATTGCAGATTTAAAAGAGAGAAGAAAAAAAAAAACACAAAAAACTAACAACCCTGTTTTGTAATATATCAGAGGCTCCAAAACAAAGTGTGTAAATTTTGACAATTCACAGAGAATACACACAGCAGTGGAAAATTCACAAGCCAAATGTTAAGGAAATAGTTTCTTTCACTTTTTTTCCTCAGGACATTATACACAATCATAATTTATACAGAATCATAAATGTCGCCGATATGGACACCAAGAGTAGAATATCAGAGCATGGAATTCAGATTGGTTTCAGGAACTTCCATACTCTAAGTTGATTAATCTTCTCAGGTATGGGTGCTTTAGGAACAAGGAATAATTAGTTTTCTGGCTTAAATAGAAAACAAAGAATGATTATTTAAAGCTGATTTTTCTTCTTTCTAGATTCTGGCTATGTATTTTCGTTCTCTGTTAAGCACGGTGTTCGCTAATAGTTATTGGGCTGTTTGTCAGTCTGTTCTTAACTCATGCAATGGGAATCACTCCTGGTTGTAAAGAAGGACCGATTTAGGGTTTGTTCTTTTCTTTCTAGTTTGGTGGACTTGAAATAACTCCAAGGCATCTCTTCTGAAATATATAATTGCCAACATTCTGAGTTTTTTATCCATAAATTATTACATATTCATGAAGAATATGACAAACTTAAAATGGTTTGTAAAATTTATGGGAAATTAGAAACAATATTTCTTTAATAATTTAAATGTCAAATTCATTATCAGCAAGGAAAATATTTACTCTAAGTTGATAGATGGCCACTGGAAGGTACAGCTCCAAATGAGAAGGCAGGCCTCTGGGTGTGATGAGCCCCTGGTAGGTTTGCAAGATTTAGCAAATGAACGTGTATAACTTCCAGCTGAATTTGAATTTCAGGTAAACAATGAAAGTTATTTAAGGATAGATTTATGCCATTCAATATTTAGGACAATGTTACCCTGAAACCATGTTCATTGTCTATCTGAAACAGAACTGAACTGGGCATGTATATTTTACCATCTGATAATCTTAGACTCAGGGAACTTAGAGTCAGGAGTCAGCACACAGGGCTACTTTGAAGCACAATGGCTACCAGAACCCATTCTGGGTCTTCCAGAATTGTCTTGCTTTTGTTCCATGGCAGGGCACCTTAAGTAATTGATCTATTGGCAAACCTCTTTAATCTGTGATTTCTAAAACTGGAAAAATTTGTCTTTCCCTTTTAGGAATCTCATGTCTAAAGACAATATATGTTTATTTTGTTTTCACTCTGTGAATTGACACCACTAGAAGCCTGACCATAAAACCCACACTTACTCTGTGAAGTGGTTATGTTAACATGGAGTATCAAAATTGTTTCCTCACTCTGGGATTTTTATGGCTAAGTTGTTTGACATGTCTTAAAACTTAAGGAGAATTTCAACCGGGAAACTGCAGTCTGTAGTTAGAATCGAGCTTTCAACGTAAAACTTTGAGCACTCATAAAAACCCATTTTTTTCTTCCTCTCTATTATTTTACCATCAAAAATGAATCCAGAGGGTGGCTACTTATCAATGAAAATGTACAAACACTGTCAAAAAAGACAATGATTTTTTGCAGCTGAGCAATGTGATGGAAATGGGCAGGGGTTTGTTTCAGTGGCTGGAATTTTATAGCCCAAAGCTGTGTTTTCTGGCAAGAGAACCTAGGGCCTGGATGAGAAGTGTGAAAACATGAAGCCCTCCACAGGATGCTGGGAAATGAGTAGGGCTTGTGGTTCCCACCACCTTTGAGGCCAGGCACTGAAAACCGAGACTTCAGCAGGGGTTTTGCTGTTGTTGTTGTTATTTTGTATCTTGCTTCTGAAGGAACAAAGAGTCTAAAAACATTGCTGTAATTTTTTCCCTCGATATCCTGAGAGTTTGTCTCCAAGAGACTGGCTAACTCACATTACATGTGCTGGAAGGGCTACTGTTGGTAACAGGCAAAGCTGGGATACAGACACACTGTTCAGTGGATGGATTCTACCTACAGACCTGGACCTGGGTGGTCAGGTCCCCTTCTGTTTTTTTTTTTTTTGTTTTTTTTTGTTTTTGTTTTTGTTTTTGTTGTTCCTCCTCCTCCTCCTCCTCCTCCTCCTCCTCCTCTTCTTCTTCTTCTTCTTCTTCTTCTTCTTCTTCTTCTCCTTCTTCTATCCATCCAGGAAGGAGACAATTTGAAAATGAACTTCTAATTTTGTTCTAGTCAGGACTAGGCATAGTATATTGGACACAAAGCAGCGAGCCCCACGGCATTTTAAAATCAGATGTTTCTTGAAATAATACTTAAATTTCTTCCTAGAAATTGATACTGAAATATTTGTGAATGGCCAAATATCAGGGAATCGCTTTACAATCATACTGCAGTGGGAGAGGAAACTGTAGCAATGGAAATTAAGCATGAATTGTCATCTAAAACTGGGTTTAAGTACATGGAGGTTAATGTGCTAGAGGTGTGTGTGTGTGTGTGTGTGTGTGTGTGTGTGTGTGTGTGTGTGTTGTGTATGTGTGTGAGTGTGTGTGAGTGTACGAGTGTATGTATGTGTGTGTGTTGCATATGTGGGTGAGTGTGTGAGTATGTGGGAGTGTGTGAATGTGAATGTGTGTATGTGAGAGTGTGTGAATGTGTGTGTGAGTGTATGAGTGTGTGTTTGTACGTATGTGAGTGTGTGAGAGTGTATGAGTGTGTGTGTGTGTGTGTGTGTGTGTGTGTGAGTATGTGAATTTAAGTGTGTGTGAGAGAGATCGAGTATGTGTGTGTGTATATGTGTGTAGTGTGTGTATGTTCATGGACACACAGAGTTAGAAGAAGAAAAGACTGAGCACTTCAGCAAACGTTTCTGGGGAAGTTGGAATGGACTGGCAGGAACAGTTTGGTTTCAAGGCTTCAGCTTGTAAAGTGGAGGAGAGGCACCCGCTGCCCTGTGAGTGGAGGAATCTGAAGGAAACAGGAATGCACACAAGTGGACAGCCACATTCCTCCTGGCAGCTCCCAGGAAGGTCTTTGAAGGGTGGAATGGAGTACTGCTCCTCTAGCCTGCTTACCGTGAATGCCACAACTGCACACCTGGGTTCCGTGTCAGGTCTGGAGATCTGCAAAGACAGCTTGAACAACCATTGCCAAAGAACCCGGATGAATTTGCACCGTGCCTGCACAGTCTCCAGGGTGCTAGAGCATGGTGCAATGGTCCTGCCTCCTCCTCGAACTGCGGACTGCCAGGCTCCTGGAGCGATAACCCCGTGTTCTGAGCACTAATGGCATGCTTGATCAGTAAGGCCAGGATTTGTCAGGTCTGACTATGGTAGGTGTGTGGAAAAGGAGGGCTTCATTGTTTCTGTCCTCTGGGGGTGGGGGAGAGGAAGCCTTGATGGTGACATTATGGTTTTGCAGGAGATAAACAAGGAAGTGGACAGTGCCTGACATTTTATGAAGCAAATCAAGCATACTGAAAGAAAGAAAGAAAGAGAGAGAGAGAGAGAGAGAGAGAGAGAGAGAGAGAGAAAGAAAGAAAGAAAGAAAGAAAGAAAGAAAGAAAGAAAGAAAGAAAGAAAGAAAGAAAGAAAGAAAGGAGGAAGGAAAGAGAAAACATAGCCCTTTATAGTCACAAAAGAAAGCTTAGTTTGAAAGCAGTCTCTCTGTCCTTTCTCTGCTGGGTAATCTAATTTGAATGCAAGGAAGTCTGGCAGTTGCAAATGCTAGCTGGCAAAAGAAGCGCATTTTCATTGACTTCCTGGGATTCTTTGCCTCCCTCAAATATTTTGGATACAGAGAACATGGCACAGATTCTTCAGTCAGTGCTAATGATGAGAAGAACCGCATAATGGAGAGCGGGCCTCATCCAGAGAGAAGTCGTGCAGATGAACGCATCCTGCCCAAAATGGAGGTCGCTTCCAAGGCTGCCAGGCTGGCGACCACGAGCCGCGAAGACTGTGACATCCAAGTGTCGCGGCTCCAGTCAAAGTCGGAAGAGTCTGCCAATTGAAGACAATTAGCAAGCGCGACTTCTCAATTGTGTTGACAGATGAGGGAGAAAAATCAAATAGATGTGAGAGTTGTGTTTATCCTGCTGCAGTGTTTTGCAATATTATGTCTATTGATTTGCTTTTTGTTTCTGAGTTATTGGGTGGATGGCGCACTGCTCTGCCTGTCAACCCGGCAAGCTTGCTTTCGCAGCTGCTTGTCAAGTGAGAATTTCTACACAAATCACCGCAACCGTCTCACAGGGGACATTAGGCCAAAGATACTATTATGATTTAATGGAAGGTGGGGGGAGGGAGCTGTAGCATGTGGCTCAATTTTCTTTCCATAACAATTGGGGATAGCTTCTGAATTCTGTAATGTGGTGCAGCCTGCTGTAATTGGTTTAGTAGGTTTCCAGGGTCCTGGAAGGTAGGCTGGGATGTGTGTGGCTGTCATTTGCTTTCATGGCTGACCCTCCCTGTAAAATGTGATATGAGTTCACATCACTTTATACTGGGCTGCAGGGTTGTCAAATTTAGGTACCATGGGCAGTTGTTGGAAGCACAGACTAAAGCCTTGAAGAATTCAGAGGCTCTGATGCTGCTACAATTGTTTCAGATAGTGGATTTTTTTTGCTTTCCACAACCTCTCCTTTGTATCTTCTTTATTTCCAGATGCCTTTGAGCCCAGTATGGGAAGTTTCCCCAACTGTATTCATCCTCCTTAGAGGGACCACTCATCCCTCAGTAATTTTAATCTGAAATTTTAATGTGAAGCTGGCTCTAATGTTTGGCTCTGTGGCAGGAGCCCTGAGTCTAACATAGAAGAAGCAGATTCCGGATAATTCAGGATCCCATGACAGAAAAAAAGCTCTTATACCACACTATGCTTGGGAACACTTGGGAAAGGGAATTAACCAAAGGAATGATTATTTATGGGAAATAATTTAGAAGATAAGACAAGTGAATAGGAAACAATGAGAATTCAGGACTTGGGAACACCCCTCAAATCATGTTTCATACTTAACTTCTTTCTTATGTGTATGACCCCACTGGTGCAAGAAATCAGTATTATCCAAAAGATTTTACCCTCTGCCTCTGTTAATTGATTTATACACGTACATGTATTCCATAGCTCAGGCTAGACTTGAGCTTGCCACCCTCCTGCTTTGTCGCCCGAGTAGCTGAGTTTACAGATGCGGGCCACCATGCCTCGCTTTATTAACTTACGTTTAAACATCCCCAAATGGGAACCATTAGAGAGTCTGCTCGCTATTCCTCCAAGCACCCTTTGAGTCGTGCTTTCCATAGAATGGGTGCTGTGCTGGGCGGAGGGGCTCCAGAAGGCAGACATCACATACATCTTGGCTAGGAACAAAAATCCTGCGCTCTAGGCATGTGTTCACATCTACAAGTTTCTTCTTGGTATTACATACTGAGGCCGCTGCATCCAACTTGCTCGCTGGTAGTGAGTTAGGTGCATTTAGGGAGATGCATTGCTTTCCTGCAAAGAACACAGGGACTGTTAAACAAGCAGCAGGAGGACGGCTCAATTTTAAATAAAATTTACAGGCCCAGAATGAATGCCCTCCCCTACATAACTGACTCACTACCAGGGAATTTCGTAGGCACCGGGGATTAGAAATGCCAATTCTAAAGTTAATTACAATACATAAACATGTATTTAAAAAGATAATTATTTGACATTATTTTGGAACTTGACTGAAAATTGCTTCCTAAGGACAAAAAAATCTCCTTCTACAAGCTCTCAGATGACTTAGCATACAGCAAAAAGCCATGCATCACACAGCACGTAAGCTTCTTTCTTAGCCATGCATTCTGTACAAATACCAGCCCTTCCAACTCTTTGTTCCATCTCCCATTCCAGTGCTTCCTCCCTCAGGAGTCATCTTCTTTTTCTACCTTGCATGTCATAAATATCATCATGGGAGAGAATGTGCCTCAGTGTAGTTTTATTACTGAAATGTCTTGAGCTTCTTCAGCTGGATCATCCTGAGCTCATGCACTTCCCAGCTTATCCCCTGTTCCAACCAGTTCACAGAGAGTAATACCAGAGTGGATGCCCCACAATTTGTCACAGACTCTTCACTTACATAAATATTCATTCAGCACCAATGATGGGCACAGGATGCTATAGGAAGACAAACTGATTTGGACTACAAATCCCTGTCCTCAACACGTTGATCATCTAGACGTGATTGGCCATTCACCTGGAGTCACAGCTAATGATGCACTAACAAGGGTAGAGCTTTCAAGCATGCTTGTGGGGAGGATGCTATTTTATGGCAAGAATGGTCTCCTTAGAATTTACAGGCTTGAAAGCTTAGGGCTGGCCACATGTAACCCTTCCAGTAATCCTGTGCTGCATATATTTTCATCTCCATTTCACAGAATGTGAACACTGAAATCCAGCCAGTTAAATGACCAGAAAACTAACCATTGGCAAACCCAACCTATGCTCAATATTACTGCTAAGCTTTCTAGCTGGGCAGTCTCTGCTCTGTCTGTAAACAAAGGACAGAGCCATCTACTTTTGCAGGTGGTTACATTAAATCAGGTATGTTTTCCTGTAGCTCTGGGATATTGAGTGTATCCATCAAGATTCCTCTGTTGAAATTCTCATTTCTAATGTGGGACTTTTGGGAGATGAGTAAATTATGGACATGAAACTCAAACAACGGGACTGATGTCCGTATGAGAAGGCACACAAAATATGTTTTCACTTTGCTCTCTGCCATGTGGGGACACTGCAAGAATTTGGCTGCCTGAAGCCAGGAAGTAGCCAGCATCAGACTCCACACTGGAGCACTTTGGTCTTTAAGTTTGCAGCTTCCAAAACAGTACAGAATAAATGGTTTTTATTTAGGTACAGTAGCATGAACTGTCTCAGTATCTCCAGCTCTAAGATATCACTCACTGTAAGTATCATGGTTATTTTGTATTTAATTTATATTAACATTGCCAATCTACAAATGCACAATCTCATTCTTTGGGGTGGTACTATATTATTTAAAGATATATTTTAACTTGAAAATACCAATTGTCTCTTTAAATCAGGCATGACTTGGGCACACAGAATGTATGGAAGACAATGCTCTTTTTCATCTGAACTTTTTCGTCTGGCTTTCAACAGATTCTTTATGACAGATTCTTTACATTTTTTATTATCATTATGTGAGAGGTAATGTGCATGTCTCCTAGCATATGTGGAAGACAGAGAGGGCAATTTGTGGAACTGAATTTCTCTTTCCACCTTTCCATGGGTTCTAGGGCTGTAACTCAGGTTGCCACGTTTGCATAACAAGCACCTTTGCTCGATGGGCCATCTTGTCATTCATTTACTCAGTCTTCTTGATATCTACCCTTTGCCTATGGTATCACTTTCTGAGCCTGCAAGAGCAGTAACAATACAACGTTTCCTGGAAGAATGTCCCACTCTGGTGTATAACATTTCCTCTCACCATGCTACCTAATCATGGTTCAACTTTTAATACTGGGGTATCAGTGGAAAAAATTCAAACAACATCCAGAATTTAATTCTCTTTTCAAATGTTCCTTTTATGTTTTGTTGACTTTCTTGAATGTTAAGGGTTTGGGGCTGCTCTATCATCTGTCCAGGAGTAATAAATTGACAGTGACAATTATGACTGAAGGCAGTTGGACCCCACTGGCCAGATAGAGTTGATTGTGAGTGAGCAGCATCCTTATTTGAGGCACTAACACAAGAAAAAAGGTGGATGTTTTAGCAACCATGCAACTCCCACCTACACAGTAAGCCAGTATATCTTTCTCTTCTGGAGAATTTCAAAATGCAGAATTTCTATAAAATTGATGAGTTTACAAATAAAGATTATGAATTCATAGTGAGACTATCCTGAGTCAGAGATGTCAAAAACTATCTGTGGAGGAAATGGGAAATTGCGTGCAGCTAGAAAGAAAGGGTATGCAGAGAGATGGGAAAGGTGTCTGAAAGTATGATGGAATCAAGAGCTTGCTTTATTTTTAACTCTCCTCCCATTGGCCCCAACAATTACAATGCACTTATTATGCAAAGAACACTGGAAGAAACTTTCTAGTAGTTCTGAACACACTATACTGTCTCTTCTAAGTCTTGAAATTCCACCCAAATTTTCAGAAACAAGGACACAGATAGCAAAAAGCATACGTGATACTTTGTGGGTGAATGAGGATTTGTCGGGGGATCTGAAAAATCTGCTTGGATTGTAGGGTTGTACATCAGACAAGCCTCAGTGGTACATCTGGCTTCAGTTCTTACTAGCTGAGTTCTCTTGGCAATGCTTTATCTTTCGGCATCTCCATTTCCTGTTTTTTTTTAAAGTACTAGGAGCTATTAACGATTTTAGAAGAGGATTTAATTTTAAGCAAACATGGAATGACGTATTTAAAGAGCTTAGAACAGCGAGTCTCAGTCAGACTTCATTTTGACAAATTATCTGAGTAAACCATGCAGGGAAGTTTAATTTGGACTCATGGTTTCTGAGTCTTCAGTCCCTGATTAACTGGTTCCATATTTGGGCCTTTGGTGAAGCAGCACACTGTGCAGGGTGGACACGGGGTAGGGGTGGAGCTGTTCAGAGGACTTTGTTGACTTTCTTGAATGTTAAGGGGTTAGGACTGCTCTATAATCTCTTCAGGAATAATAAATTGACAATGACAACTATGACTGAAGGCTGTTGGACCCCAGTGGCCAGATAGAGTTTCTTGTGAATGAGCAGCATCCTTATTTGAGGCTTCAGCATGAAGGGGATGACTGTACTCTAGGAGAAAAAAAAATTTCCCACTGTTATCCTGTCTAGGTCCTCAATGTTTTGGATTGAATCATCCATATGCAAGATGGATCTCCCCTTCTTACTCAATCCTCTCTTGAATATCCTCGCAGACAGACCTAAAGTTGTAGTTTATATATAATCTTGTGCTTCTCAATTCAGTCAAGTTAACAATCAAGGTGAACCATTAACTAACTAGACAGTGACTCACTCATATAAGCACTCATAAGACCTTTCAAGTAAACTGTTAACTAAGGTACCAGTGGCAAGTCATGGGCCAATATAAGACCTTAAAGGAGTACATAGTACCCATCCCAATGAAAGATTTTTAAAACAGCAAATCAATCAACATTTATAAAATCATACAGAAAGATGAAGCATGGTAAAATACCAGGAAATAATGTAGGATATTGAGACAGTATAGGTATTTTTGATAAACAAAAGGTCAGTTTTCAATTGGTGTCATTTAAATGGCTTTTTTTTTGAGACAGGGTTTCTCTGTGTAGCTTTGCACCTTTCCTAGAACTTACTTGGTAGCCCAGGCTGGCCTCGAGCTCACAGAGATCCGCCTGTCTCTGCCTCCTGAGTGCTGGAATTAAAGGCGTGCGCCACCACTGCCCAGCTTTAAATGGCTTCTTACTCTACCCCTATGTCAAACTAACCTTGAACTCCACAGACCTTTATAGTCTGTTTACTAATTAGTTGATTAATTATTTTATTTTTTGAGACAGGATCTCACTATGTAGCCCTGGCTGGTCTGGAACTCACAGAAATCTGTCTGCCTCTGTCCCCCCAAGTACTTGATAAAGGTGTGCACCACTGCACTCAGCTATTTATTTACTTTTAAATATTTATTTAATTTAAAATATTTTATTTTTATTATTTTAATAGTGTGTGTGTGTGTCCCCATGTGCGTATGTGCACATATGTTCTGGTGCCTTTGGAGGCCAGAAGACAGCAACCAATTCCCCAGAGCTGTAGGTACAGGCAGTTGTGAACCACTAAAAAATGGGTGTTGGGATACAAACTCTGATCAGCAAATGCTCTTATATGCCAAACCATGTTTCTAGCCATCTACAGTCAGCTTATTGAACCTCTCTAGAACCATGTAAATGTGTTAGAGCCGATACTTGAATAGTAGAATATTATTTTAAGGTGTGTTGCTTTTGTTTATGTTGCGTTTGTTTAACTCTGTGAAGCTGTGTTACTGTGCCTGTCTAAAACACCTGATGGCCTAATATAGAACTGAATAGCCAATAGCAAGGCAGAAGAAAGGATAGGAGGGGCTGGCAGGCAGAGAGTATAAAAAGAAGGAGAAATCTGGGAATGGAGATTGGAGTTCTAGCAGCCAGAGGAGGAGGAGACACCAGGGACCAACTACCAAGCTACACAGCAAGCAACAGAGAAAGAGTCAGTTTTACAGAAGTAAGAGAACGGGAAAAGCCCAGAAGCAAGAGGTAGTCTAGATAAGTTAAGATAAGGAAAGCCGGCTAGAAACTAAACCAAGCGAAGGCTGGGCATTCATAATTAAGAATAAGCTTCTGAGTGAGATTTACTTGGGAGCTGGGTGGTGGGCCCCCCCAAAAGACCAAAGACCAACCAACAATAATAACTTGCCCTAGGTAGAAATGAATCTTCTTTAGGACATGACTTCCAGGCTCTGGATTCAAGAATTTTCTCTTATGTGTTCAGAGCACATATGTTCTTTGAAAATCAGTGTCAGTCATTAGAAACTTGAGCTCTAAGAAGCTGCTCAGACATTCATAAGGGAAGGCCACGCTCTTACTAATCAAACACCAGGGGACTGTCTTAGCTTCTACTGTGGTTCACAGCAGCAGGAAGTCAGACACGGACCAAAATTCTCAGTCTCGGTCACTGAATCATTTATTTAATCATCATCAATCAGTAGATTTTTCTTTACTTTGGGAGAAAAGCAAACTCACTAGGGATGTGTCTCAGATGTTGTGATCATCTACTATATTATTTTGGTTGTACTACTGAGTCATGTTTTCCTGTATTTTGAAGGACAGGGAGAGTAAAAGTCCCTTCTTTTTAAAATTAATATTTATTCTCTTTTTCAGTCTGATGCTTCTATCAAGTTCTGATTTTAGCATCTAATTTTATCACCTTCAAATATCCAGGATGACAAATTAAAATGGCATATTTAAAAACTGTTTGAGGAAACAGGGAGAAGAGATAATTCTTAGAGCCAAGTATTAGATTTCCTCCTCCTCCTCCTCTTCTTCTTCTTCCTTGCCCTCTTCCTTTTCCTCTTCTTTTAAATTGGAAAGTGTTTTTTCAATCTATTGATAGTTAATTGCAAGTTCCAGGCTTGGTGAGCTGTTGGCTCTTCAGTTAGTAACTCTTTATGATCTGGAGCTTTGGGGCCACAGAGAGAGGGATGTTTCCCTCTTCCTGGAACAGTTCCAGTTCAAGGTGCAGTAAGATGTTACCTTCTTGGCAGAGCCTTGGTCCTGTTAAGCTTCCATTGATCTGGGGCAGGTTCAGCTTCTTTCTGGTTCGTAGGCATGGTGCTCACACACCTCTGATGTACTACTCAGCTTTTGACTGGCTTTCCATTTTCCTTTCTATCAACCGAATATTCTTTTCTGGACTGTATTGCACATTATTTGTCTTTTATTCCTCACTTTGAAGACAGGCTTAAACAAAACTCTTCAATAGATGTTTGGTGAATGAGTGGTTAGCAAAAGCCTATAATATATGTGACATTATATGGAGAAATGGACAATTATAAAATTTTCACTAAGCAGTGATGATGAGCTACAGTACATTGAAGACACACGAAGGCCAAGTTAGCGAGTTATCACTGTACACTCTGAGCTCAAAGCAGGGCCTTCTTGCCTGCTGCTTTAGTAATGGGGGTAATCTGGCACACTGTGTTGTCATAGGCCAAGTACTGGAGGGTCATTGGAAGGGATGAGGGTGTGTAGCCTTTGTTCTGGTGAGTCTTACCTGCCAAACTCTCTACTCCGTATCCTGTAGAAGAAAGGTCTTCCCATTCTAAGTTTCAGATGTTTAACGTGAGCTGTGAGAGGCAGTGATTTCACTGTAACACCTCCCGATGCCTTCATAGAGGAGTGCTGAGTGCTTCCAGCAAGAGCAAGGAGTCTGTCCCCATCCCACATCAGACATGTACTTTGCAGAGGATGTATAGCCTGGTAACTGCCTGTGTTGGCTTCCTCTAGAGGCCAAGCTTCCAACAAGTCCTGTCTACCTGGATCCTCAGCTGCTTCTGGGTAATTTAGTGGGCCACCGACTCACCCCATCCCTGAGGTCTGTCTCAGAATTATTTGGGTAGAGACCTTTGTTGGGTCCTCTATCTCAAACCTAGCATGGAGGTTTCCACTTTTATCTGTTACTTTTGTAACTTTTGTTGTTTGTCTGACTCTTACTGGTCATTTTCGTATCATTTTAACTCTGTATTAATATATACCTTGTCCCTGTTCAAATTGTTGATTATGTTTTCTGATTGGCTCTCAATGGCCATATCAAGTGCTAAGTAAATAAGGTTCAAAAGAACTGATTATAAATTTGAAGGCCGTGTTACTGTATTGTGAAGTCTCTGGAGTTATCTCTTTTGGC